TATTAATCATGCAATGTTGTTCCACATTTGAAAACACTTTTAGGAGGGGTTCGAAGGCACTTTTACATTTTGAAAATCTAAGTTGGCTCTGAATCCGCTCCCTCGTTTTTTAAACTTTGTAAAAAATTAAACCTTGGCATGCAGATTTCAATTCGATGATAACAAATGGCGGCCACCGGACTCGTTTTTGAGTTAGAATTATTAACAGCTAAAATTAAATTTTTTTTCATCAACTTATACCGTAGGTAAGTTACTAGTATTGTCACGAAAATGATTATCATAACCTGTTCGCCAATGATTATATTTATAGGCATTTGTTTGATGCCATTATTGTCAACTGAAAAGGAGTGGTAGGATTAGTCGAAGTGCTAACAAATGCTTGCCAGCCACCTAATAACTTATTCAGTAAAAACCTGGGTACTGCTATCCCGCAACAGGAAGCTTACAAAATCTGCCTGTGCTCGTTTCACTTTTAACAACATTGCATTAGTAACGGTAGAACAAGGTATGACAGAAAGAACCCTGTAACCGAATCATTATATTCCCGTATTTAATACACCTTAAGAAGATAAGATTTAGAGCCATGTTTAAGAGAATTTAAAGAGAGGAAACTGAATACATAACGGTCAATTCAATAAAAAGAGAAATTCTGGTTCCGTTTCTTGTTTTTGGGAGAAAGGGAAATCAACAAACGTTCCGAAATATTTCATTTTAACTCCAACTGTGTTTCAATCGGCAGTTGCACCAGCAGTCACAATTGATGGAAATCCAACACAGTTTAAAGCTATAGGGTACGATATGCAGCTGACCTGTCGGTATAATGCTTCACCACCAGCGTCTGAAGTGTTGTGGAAAAAAGATGGAACTGTCATAGTAAGAAATACAAGCGTGGAGATAAATGACTCAAGAATAACTATACCACATTACAGTGAAAGCCAAATTCAGCTTACAGTTATTAACGCTACCGCACAAGATGCTGGAAATTACACCTGTCTCGTTACAAATGTTGTTGGCAATTCATCCGATACCACTGTAATTTTTATTGAAGGTACGTTTTAATTTACAAAACCAATTATTCAACTTGTTTATACCTTAATTGCACTCATGTTTGTCTCTGAAGGTATTTATGTTGTGTGTCTATATCACGCGAAATTAATGAT